CTTAGCCACTTCGGCCTGTAGTTAGTCTATAAAATGTGGGCCTCCAAAGTTAATAAATGAGACCCTGGTTTATCCATCAGTCTCTTATGAAGTGGGTCATGATGACTCAGTCTCCCTGCCAAACCATCTGCCTATAGCGAGAGGTGGCTCAGATCCCCTCTGTGGTGTCTCTGTTTATAAGTGGTAGCTCCTAAATACTGCCCCTTTCCCACCACCCAGACGTAACCGTTCCCTTCCATGATTTCTGTTTCATGCCTTGTGCCTTTCCAGTAATGAGGGACGTTTCCCAAGGGCAAGAGACTGGTTTTCTTTTCTAGGACTAGGTATTAAGAAGATGCACACACATCTCAAGCAGCTATGGGTTCAAGTCTTGTTTCTACTACCTACTCACTGTGTGATCTGCAACAAATTACTTAACCTCTGTTTCCTCCTCTAAAAATATGGGTCTAGGAAGAATAATACCTCCTTCACTGTGTTGTTTGGGGGATCAGATGAGCTGCTGATGTGCTTGGCACAGGGTTAAGTATGGAGTTAAGTGAGGGATTTTATTTCAACCACCCCACAAATATTTATTGAGTGCCCACTGTGTGACAGGCATTGAACTAGGGACCAGGAAGAATAAATGGGGCAAGAGCTGTCTTATGTGATTTAGCTTTTCAATGGTACAGACAGAATAGCATCAAATGGCCTGTTTCTGACTCTCCTGCCTCCACACTGCCGTAGGTGGCCTGGGCCTGCTACTTGTACCATCCCTTGTGGAGCTTACATCCCAAAGGTAGAGGAGAACAGATAAAAGAGTGTATGGTTTTGAAATGGGACAAGCCCAGTAAAGGGGAAGCATTGAGTGCTTTGGGAAAAATATTGGAATAACAGAGTGGGGGCAGATTTGAATCTGAGGGGGCCAGAGTTACCTGTGAGTTATTTTGTGAGTAACTTGGGTGCAGAGAGCTGTGGATAAGCATCAGGGACCCTCCCTTCTTCCCTTCCTCTCTTTTCCCTACATCCCTAGGGATTTCGAGCTTCCTCTGCATTCTGGCAGCCTTGGGGGAGGGTGTTTTTTTTTTTTTTTTTTTTTTTGAGACGGAGTTTCGCTCTTGTTACCCAGGCTGGAGTGCAATGGCGCGATCTCGGCTCACCGCAACCTCCACCTCCTGGGTTCAGGCAATTCTCCTGCCTCAGCCTCCTGAGTAGCTGGGATTACAGGCACGCACCACCATGCCCAGCTATTTTTTTGTATTTTTAGTAGAGACGGGGTTTCACCATGTTGACCAGGATGGTCTCGATCTCTTGACCTTGTGATCCACCCGCCTCGGCCTCCCAAAGTGCTGGGATTACAGGCTTGAGCCACCGCGCCCGGCCGAAGGGGGAGGGTGTTTTTAAGCTGTAGCTTGGCCTTGCCCTGCTGGGCCCCGCCACACACACCCTCTAGTGGTCATAACGAGTGCCTGGCACTAGGCTGGATGGTCCCTAGGAATCCAAGGACAGCAGGACTGCCACTGCCCTTCCCTTCCTGACATTATCTTCATTCAGATGCAGTAACAAGGGCTGCTTCTAGGTCCTCTTGTCACTTAATTTTGTCAGCCACCTCCAGCATGATTTTTTTTTAAGATGGAGTCTTGCTCTGTCACCCAGGCTGGAGTGCAGAGACACGATCTCTGCTCACTGCAACCTCTGTCTGCCAGGTTCAAGCGATTTTCTTGCCTCAGTCTCCTGAGCAGCTGGGACTACAGGCATGCGCCACCACGACTGGCTAATTTTTTGTATTTTTAGTAGAGATGGGGTGTCACCATGTTAGCCAGGATGGTCTCGATCTCCTGACCTCATGATCCACCCACCTTGGCCTCCCAAAGTGCTGGGATTACAGGCATGAGCCACTGTGGCCGGCCTCCAGCATGATTCTTATTTCCACTTCACAGGTGAAAATCCCAAGGCTTATAGAGTTGAGGGAGGTAAGTAGGGTCAGTACTGACTTTAGGCCCATCAGACTCTAGTTCAGTGAGCTTCATTCAGCATCATTCTTGAGCACATCAGGAATGATGCCACGTCTCCCAGTGAGCAAGAGATGATGTCAGATTTTGCCCATTACTGCCCCGCAAAGAAGGGAGGTCTCCTGAGAAAGGTCACTGCTGCAGTCTCTCCTTGGTCTGAGGCTACTGGGGCACTCTCAGGGTGCTCCTCCAGGAACTCTGCAGATTGGGCGGCCATGGTACCTCAGAGAGGCATGGGGGTGGAAGTGGGGGGAAGGGTGCCCCTAGGGCTCTGTGCTGAGCATCTGTGGAAGCACACAAGTCCCTGCCCTCAGGGGAGGTGCTGCAAGTTACCTGCTGGTAATCCTTCTTCCTGCCGGCCCATTTCCTTTGCTTCCTATTACACAAGCACACCCCTTCTTCAGCCAAACTGTCTGGGTTTTAATCCCGCCTCTGCCAGTAACTACAAGTTACTTTGTGCAAGCCTTTGTGCAAGTTACTTTGTGCAAGCCTTTGTGCTTCAGAGTCCTGGTCTACAAAATGGTGGTAACTCTCTCCCCTATAATACCAGCACTTTGGGAGGCCGAGGCGGGCGGATCACTTCAGGTTAGGAGTTCGAGACCAGACTGGCCAACATGGCAAAACCCCATCTCTACTACAAATACAAGAATTAGTCAGGCATGGTGGTGCAAGCCTGTAGTCCCAGCTACTTGGGAGGCTGAGGCACGAGAATCACTTGAGCCCGGGAGGTGAGGGCTGCAGTGAGCCAAGATCACACCACTGCACTCCAGATGGGGGACAGAGCAGGACTCTGTCTCAAAAGAAATAAAATAAAATGGTAGTAACAACCATAGCTATCCCCAAAATGTTGTAGTCTGGAGACCTCAACCCCTGACACTTTGATTCAGCAGGTGGGCCTGTTTGGAAATCCCTTCTTGAAGAGTGTAATCTGGCAACACAGACCTACACACCACTTCCAGCCAGGATGAGCAGGCGTGCTGGTTCATGCCCCTCTGGTTTTAGCATGTTAGCATTGTCAATGCCATCCTTGTTTTACTGGCAAGTTACGTGAGTGTGTTCCTGTGCCTCAGTTTTCCTCATCTGTAAGTGTACATAATAACAGTAACTATGTTCAGTGCTTCTATACTACTAATAATAGTATCTATGTTAAGTGTTGTGAGAATTAGCTAAATCCTGGAACATTACCTTGCTCATAGTAACGACCCAATAAGCATGAACTATTATTATTGTAATCCACACTCAAAGAGCAGACATGAGAATAAAAGAAAAGACACTGAGTTTCTCTTTGTATTTTAAGATGTGTTAATTTCCCCAAAGCGAAAAGTGACTTACACAAGACGGGCTTCTGGGGTGCGGGTCGCGCTGGTTTTTGGGTGTTGGTGACATCACCTGTGTTTGTTTACTTGTCATCCTGCTGTTCGCTTGCGATTTGTGCATTTAACCTGCACTATCTCCTGGGACCTTCACGGTTCTGTGAAGCACAAAGGGCAGGCATCCTCATCCGCGGTTTCAAATAAGAAAGTGAGACTAGGACGGCTAATTAAATTTGGCCAAAGTAGTAGGAGATGGGTGTAAGGAAGTTTCTGAGTCCGATCTTTTATTCGGGGAACAACTGCCACTTCCAGAGAGCGCAGCGCGAACAGTACCTGGCTTCAGGTAAAGCTCAGCAAATGGTTCTGAATCCTCCTTGCAAATGCCACTCTTCCTCCAGCGCAGACAGATTCAGGGCCCGGCCGGGGGCTCGTACCGCCGTACACTCCCCAGGCCAGCCCCACGCATGGCCACCCTCGAGTGAGACCCGCTCGCCAGCGCCCCGAGGCCAAGGCGGGGGAATGGCGCCTAGCCCCTGGCCAATGAGAGTAGCGGAATTTCTTTCATTCAGCGCGCGGCCAGGCTCCTGCCCGGAAAGGGGCGGGGCGCCGCGCCGTGGGTGGGGCCGCCGCGCGCCGGGGGAGAGGGCGGTGCCGGCCCCGCAGTCTGGCCAATCGGCGCCGCGCCCGGGGGGGGAGGGGGGCCCAGGCCTTTTTTCCCCTCCGCGCGGGACCAATCCCGACTTTACAAGCTTGAACTTTTGCCACCCTCGGACGAGCTAGCGCGCCCGAGGAGGTACCCCGCCGCGCCGGCTCCAGGGGCAGGAGCGGTCTTAACCCTTCCCGCGCCAGGCGTCAGGCTGCTGCCGCCGCGCCCCCGATCCCTCCCGCAGCCCACCCCCATGTTTGCGTGGAAACCTCTCCGGGGAAAGCGTGATCCCTCACCCGCAGCCGTCTCTGAGGTGCGGAGAGTAAACTGGGGAAGGGAGAGGAAGCACCCAGTCTGAAGGGGGCCCGGCCGGCCAGCGGCCCGCCTCGCTCCGAGGAAGGGCCGTGGCGACTGAGAGGAGCCAGCGAGTAGACACTCCCCGCCTCTACCCCACCCTCTCCATCTCCCCACTCCGGGCGAGCCTGGAGCCACCGTGCGCAAAGCGTCCTAAGCACCCAGTTTGGCCCGGCCGAGAGACCCCCGACTTTGTGCAAGGAGCATGGAGCCCCTCGTGCAGTCACGGAAGATCCGCTACTCCAACGTATCAGCCGCCCCCTGCCCCTCAGAGGCTCAGCCCAGGAAGGCACACACAAGCACACCCATTTTTATTAGACTGCCCCGGGATGGGGGTTTGGGACAACTTTAAAGTGCAAACTGTGTTTGTAAGCTTGTGCACAAGCCAGGGATAGGCAAAGCGCACCGTTTGCGTCCGAGTCTCAGAGTGTCCGCCGAGCCCTCGCGCGCCTGCCCGTGGTTTGTGTAACCCTGTGTGTGTGTGTGTGTGTGTGTGTGTGTCCGCCCGCGTGTGTGTGCTCGCTCGCATCCGTGCCCGGGGCGCAACGCAAATCAGAAAGCGGGCCGCGGGTGCTGTCAGGCCTGGGGTGGGGGTGCCGGGGCGGTGTGCGGGGCGGGGGGCCCGAGCTCCGCCCGCCCCGGGAGCCGGCCCCTTGGAGCCTCGGGCCCTGCAATGGGACGTGTTCTCCTTTAAGAGTTAAGAAACTTGAAACCTTGTTTGCGCAACAATCAGCGCCGCGGAGCCGCCAAAGTGTCTAGACTGGCATATGATGGGAGGCAGCCAATGACTCCGCGGCGCTCCTCCGGGGGCCCTCAGTGTGCGTTTGAGGAGAACAAAAAAGAGAGAGAGAGCCGAGCGGGGGAGCGATCGAGGGAGCCGAGCCGAGAGAAAGAGCCGCCGGGCGCTGCCTCGCCAGACCTCGCTGGGACCCCGGGGCCACCGGGAGGCACTTTTGTGGAGGGGGGAGGAGGGGCGACCTCTGCAGCCTCCGCGCCCGGAGCGTCCGAGCGCAGCGTGGGGCGGGCTGCGACCTCTGCCTCGGTGGATTGCATTTTAAATTAAGGATCCCAGCAGCTCTTTGGGATTTTTACAGCTTCCACTCATGTGTTGACACCCGCGTCCAGGAGAAACTCGCTCCAAGTGCATCTAGCGCCTGGGACCTGAGACGGAGTTGGCCTTTCGTGCATGCAAATCCAGGGATTTACGTTTTGTTTGGGATTTCCTTTTCTTTCTTTCCTTTTTTTTTTTTTTTTTTTTCTTTTTTCTTTTTGCAGGGCGTAAGAAGGGAGCTGGGGGTATCGACAAGCCTGCCTTTCGGGTCCTGCAGGAAAAGCCCATGTAGTTAAGCGCTTGGGTTTAAAAGGCAGGGCTTTCCATACACATTTGGGAGTTCGGCGCGAGCGCTTTGTGCTCATGGAGCAGCCGCGCAACTTTTGAAGGCTCGCCGGCCCATGTGGGGTGTTTCTGGCGGCCCGCCGCCTGCAGCTCCCCTAAAGCGCGGGGGCTGGAGTTGCTGAGCAGCCCCGCCGCTGCGGTCCATGTAGCCCCTGGCCGCACGCGGACTGCGGCTCGGCGTGTGCGTGTTCCCGGCCGTCCCGCCTCGGCGAGCTCCCTCATGTTGCAGCCCTGCGGCGCCCCTTCGACGACAGGCTGTGCGCGGTCTCCACGGCGCTCCGCGGCGGAGCTTCATGTGGGGCTGCGACCCGCGCAGCCGGCGCCTCGCTGAGGGAACGGACCCCCGGTAACCGGAGACCGCCTCCCCCCCACCCCTGGCGCCAAAGGATATCGTATGTTCAGGTCCAAACGCTCGGGGCTGGTGCGGCGACTTTGGCGAAGTCGTGTGGTCCCCGACCGGGAGGAAGGCGGCAGCGGCGACGGCGGCGGCGGCGGCGACGAGGATGGGAGCTTGGGCAGCCGAGCTGAGCCGGCCCCGCGGGCACGAGAGGGCGGAGGCTGCGGCCGCTCCGAAGTCCGCCCGGTAGACCCGCGGCGGCCCCGGGACGCAGTGGGACAGCGAGGCGCCCAGAGCGCGGGGAGGCGCCGGCGCGCAGGGGGTTCCCCCAGGCCCTTGTCGGAGCCAGGGGCCGGCGCTGGGAGCTCCCTGCTGGACGTGGCGGAGCCGGGAGGCCCGGGCTGGCTGCCCGAGAGTGACTGCGAGACAGTGACCTGCTGTCTCTTTTCGGAGCGGGACGCCAGCGACCCCCTGGCCGGGGCGGCCCTGGAGCCGGCGGGCGGCGGGCGGAGTCGCGAAGCGCGCTCACGGCTGCTGCTGCTGGAGCAGGAACTTGAAACGGTCACGTACTCGCTGCTGAAGCGGCTCAAGGAGCGCTCGCTGGACACGCTGCTGGAGGCGGTGGAGTCCCGCGGCGGCGTGCTGGGCGGCTGCGTGCTGGTGCCGCGCGCCGACCTCCGCCTGGGCGGCCAGCCCGCGCCGCCGCAGCTGCTGCTCGGCCGCCTCTTCCGCTGGCCCGACCTGCAGCACGCCGTGGAGCTGAAGCCCCTGTGCGGCTGCCACAGCTTCGCCGCCGCCGCCGACGGCCCCACTGTGTGCTGCAACCCCTACCACTTCAGCCGGCTCTGCGGGCCAGGTGAGCGCGACGCGCCGGCCGGGGGCGGGGGGGCGGGGAAGTCCGCGGCTCCTCCTGTCCCCCTGTCCCCTTCCTTGCCCTTCTCTCTAACTGTGACACTGCGGGTCGGCGCAGCTGCGGTGCTCCCCCGGGTGCCCTTGGACCGTGGGAGCCCCTAGGGGAGACGTCTCAGCCCGGCCCAGGGGAGTGGGTGTCCCAGCACACACATCAAGTGGCAACTTTATCTCGAGGCTCCGGTAAACTTAAGAGGGTGCACGGCGTAGTTTTCTCTGTGCAGTTTCAGGGACATGATGTAGGCTTCAACTGCATAGGCAGGGAAAGCAGAGGGCAGGCCAACGAGAGGTCAAAGTAGGTGCTGTCTCCTCCTACCCCTATTCCAGAATCTGCCCCAGACTGTGCCCAGGCTTCTAGCATTTGTAGGCATGTGCCCATACCCATATTATGCTTTCCTATGTCCAAGTAGCTGTAAGTTGTGAAATTGGGTGTACACAAATCACAGATAGAATCAAGTGTTCATCAAATATCTCCCTAATGCCTTTGTACACTTTGGACAGAGCTTTGCAGGGTAGCCTCTCTCTGGAGTAAAGAGCACCCTCTTTATTTCCCACATGCTATTATTCCCCACATCCCTTGGGTGTCAAGTGCCAGGATCTTCCATCCTCCTCCTTGTATGTTCAGCTTTTGTACAGAGTTGAGGGTCTTGCAGGCATCCATGGGTAGGTGAAGAAGCAGATACTTGATGACCTCTGAGCACTGTCCCCCTTTGTTCTCCTCTTGAGATTCTCTGCACACACCCCACCCTCAGCCTTGCTCACCTGGCCAGGCCCTGGTGCTCAGGTCCAGACAGGCGAAAGCCCCAGCAGGCCAGGAGTCCCCGGCAGGCCAGGAACTAGCATTCGCCTTGTTCTGAACTCTGCCCTGCGGGGAACACACATGTTAGCTTGTAGCTAGCCTCTGAAGGAAGTATGGGAATCCATTAGGTGGCACCGGGGTTTTGCAGGGGTGGGACTGTCAGGGAGTCACAGGCTACTGAGCCCGGGAGGGCTCTGGGTCCCTCCATTCTGGCTTCCCCGGGGAGAGTTAGCACCCAGGTTGGGAGCACATAGAAGGTCAGATTGTAAGGTCTCCCGACTCTCACTTTGGAAGGGGAAGGTGGGCCTGGGATCGTGCATTTGTCCCAGGTGTCTTGTTTGCATGTGGAGTAGTTTCTGGAGAGGAAAGGAGGTTTTTCCTCAGTGATGCTTCCTGAATAGAAGGCACTGATGGGGGCGGGTGTGGAGGGGCTGTGTTGACCAGGCACCCTACTCCCCTCCTGGTCACTCCAGGCCCAGTTCAGGAGCTATGAGCAGTCTCTGACCTGTGGCTCATGCCAGGCTTTCTATGTACTCTTCTCCCCTTCCTGACAGCTACCCTGAACGTGGCTTTCTCTCCTCTTGGAACTCTGCCTCCTCCCTGCCTCTGGGAACGGAGACCCTATTTGTGGTTGGCTGTCTTGTTCCTGGTCATCTTTTTCTTTTTTTAAGTGGGTCCATTCCACTCTTGTAGAAGCCCCTGGCAGGTATTTTTCTCTCTCGCCACTTCAGTGTGCCAACAAATGTTCGTTGAGCGACTACTCTGGTCCAGGCATTGTGCTGGGTGCTGTGGCTGGCAGAGTGGAAATATGAGTAGGATCTGTGCCCTCAAGAAACATAATCTCATGGGGGATTTATGGGGAAGAGATGGGGGGAAAAGGGAAGTGTGCAGGGCCAGGTCTGTGGCTCTGAACTACCAGAAGCCTAAGGGTGTGTATGTAATGGGATCACCTGCAGGAGCTCTGCAGCTCCAGCCTGGAGCAGGGCCTTGGAGGACGGGTCAGAGGAGAGGGAGCCAGCCAGCTCAGAGTCACACGGTGCCAGGCACACTCAGGTGGGTGGGCAGGGAGGGGAGGAGTGACAAAGTTGGAGACAATGGGCAGGACTGCTCCTGCTACTCCTGCTTGGACTAGGAGTTGGTGCGGGTGCTGGCTTGCGTTTGGTGGTCTTGGACAGGTACAGGTCAAGGGATACCTGGCAAGCTGCAGTAGAGTGCTTCTTAACTATGGACCTAGTCCTAGGCTCTGCCCAGCTAGTAACCTGCAGCTTGACTTTGGATGAGTTACTTCCCCTGTCAGCCACCGTGGTGGTCAGTGGGGATGGCTCTGGGAACATTCTCCCCATCTAAATCTGACCTAAGCCTTAGGACTTGATTCTTCTCCTTCTCCCAGAAGGAGGCGCTGTTGCGGGGCTGCAGCACCCCGAGTCTCCTCCCCTGCTTCTTTGCTAGCCGCTAGCCTCTGGGGCCCCCATTCAGCCACCCTGGGGACAGCTGGGAGGACCGATGGCCAGGGAAGAGTTTCCAGTGTGTGCCGGGTTGACCCTCTTGCCGCTGGCCTGAGAGCTGGGGGAGCCCTGGGCTGCCCACCCCGCCCCCGCCGCCTGGCCGCCAGCCTGGCTCCCGTAACTGGGCGGGCACATAGCTGGGGCTCAGCCGTGCGCGTCCTGATAAGGAGACTGCTCCTTCCAGGGCTCTGGGGAGAGGGCCGGGGCACCGGGCAGGCAGACGCGCACACACACAGCGCAGGCACACAGCTAGCGAGCCAAGTACGCTGGAACACTGGCAAAGGGGCACTCCCACCTGGCAGCAGTCACACCCCTCCCCTCCACCTCCACCGGCCACCTCAGGGAGCCCCAGTGACAGGAGACCCCTCATTGGCAGTGTGGACCCCTGCCGTTCAGAGCCCACTCTCCATCCGGGTCTTGGGGCAAATTTCCCCTTTGGGCTTCTTTTCCCATCTCTAAAGTAAGGGGTTGGAGGGAATCCCTGAGGGCTGATGTGCAGATGCCAGGCCACAGAGGCCTCCCTCCCCTTCCCTGCTCTGCTCCAGGCTGGGCTCAGAAACTGGGGTCCTCAGCAGGGGACCCACCTCTGCTGGGCATGGGCTGGGGGCCTCCTGGCCTCTCAGCCCATGGGAGTCAGGCCCAGCTCTGCCTCTCGCTTGGGTGTCTTTCTGTCCCAGGAAAAGCCAGTTCGCTGAGCTCAGTGGGTGCCTATGTGGACGGAAATGTGGAGAAATACTTTAATCACAGCTCTAACCTGTGTTTATAGAGCTCCTTTCTCCTGAAAGTATCCATTAACTTTGGAATAAATCTCCTGCTCTTTGCTTCCCCACTTTTTTTTTTTCTGTAATTATATTCTGTAAATTACTATTATCCAAATTGCGCCCGGGGAAGAGAGACAGAGCAAGAGAGTGAACTTCTAAACGACTGGAGGAGGCCGCCTAGGAAAACACAGGGTTCCCAGGCCAGGACTATAGGAATTAGAATGGGCTAGAAAGTTTTCCTTTTATTTGGCCTGGCATTATCCCTTTGAAATGAGATCAATTTCAAGTCGGGCTTCCAAGCCCCCGCCCTGCCCAGCTCAGCGGCCCCTAGCCCTGCTTGTCTGCTCCTCCTAGCTCCTCCTGGAGGTGAGGAAGGGGTGATAATGTGCAGTTTGCCTCTTGCTGGCGCCAGCCGGCCGCGCTGTTTATCTGGCTGCCAGGGGAATCTGGGCAATTAGGCTCAGCCGGCCTTAAAGTGCCAGGAGCTCCTTTTCTGCGTCTCCCATCATGGGGCTTAGGGTTGAGTCTTCAGGTTCTGGGGGCAGGAAGGAGGGACACTCAGGAGGCCCCCTCCCCACCCACAGCCCCTCTTAGGGAGGGGGGAGACTTGGCAACTTGGGAGGCATATGGATCTTTTCCTGAGCAAGATGCGGAGCTGCAGAGATGGGGGTGGAAGGTAAATGTCCCAAATGGAAACTTTGCCAGGCACTGGGAGAGGCTGTGAACTCTTTTCTGGCTTTAGAATTTAGGTCTAGATCCCAAAAGGCTAAGTACCCCCTGGGGGCTAACCAGAGGCTTGCCTGGGCTGAGCTGAACCTTCTGGCGCACTGGCCCCTGGCTGACTGCTCCTGCTTCTGAAGGAAGTTGGAGGAGATTCCTAAAGTGGATGCCTCAGGCTGGATGTCCGAGGGGGTTGGAGTTTCTGATGTCTTTCTGTCTCCCTCTCTTTTCGTTTTCTCTTTACCAGGTCCACCAAAGAAGTGGTAAGTGGTGCTATGAAAGTTCTCCTGTTAAAATTTAGAGCACATTGGTTATTTTAAAATCAACACAACTTCTGAAAGTACTCAGACAACTTCTAAAAGGGCTGTGGACAGAGGGCCTGGTGGCAGCTCAGTTTCTCTTCTGACCTTTGGTCTCACCCACCATGTGTCTCACCTGAGTGCCCACCTGAGTGCCCACCTTGTCCACCTGAGGTAACGTCCTGGGATTCCGTCAGTCCAGGTCCATGAGGCGAAGCCTTGTGGGAGCGGCAGCTGCTTCTTACCCAGTAGTGTTCATAGCACATTATTTGTAACAGCCAAAGAGAGGAAGCAACCCCAATGTCCGTTAGCTGATGAATGGGTAAACGGAATATGGTATATCCAAAGAATGGACTATCCTTCGGCCATGAAAAAAAATGAAGGACAGTACCGAAACATGCTACAACATGGATGACCCATGATGACTTTGTGCCACATGAAAGAAGAAGCCAGCCACAAAGGCCAAATATTATATGATTCCCTTTAAAGGAAATATCCAGAAATGGGCAAACCCATAGAGACGAAAGTAGGTTCGTGGTTACCCAGGGTTTTGGGGTTGGGGTCTAGGAAGTGACTTCTAATGGGGATGATGTTTCTTTTTGTGATGAAAAAAATGTGTTTAGATTGTGGTTGATGGTTGCAAAACACTGTGAATATACTAAAAACCACTGAATGGTATATTTTAAAAGGATGAATCTTAGGGTATGTGCATTATATCTCAATTTTTAGAAAGGGTTACCTGATAACTGGTCGCCAGCTGGTCTCTCCTATACCCGCATTACACCTGCAGCTACCTTCGTGTGTGGCCTTTTGGGCAGGTCCTTCACCAAGTGGGTCCTTAGTTTTCCTGTCAGTAAAAAGAAGGAGTTGAGTTGGGTGAACCCCAAGGCCCCTTCTGTCTCTGACACTCTAAATCCTTGTGTTGTGGGGTGGAGTCTAAAGCCTTCATACTTTTTTAGAATCATGGAACCTCATTATTAGCTTTCAGTCTCTGCAGTTGCTAAACAGTTGCGTGCGAACCATTTTGCCAGAGCCAGTAGTGGGAGCCTGGTGAAGTCCCTCCTGAAAGCTTTGCAGTGCTCTACCAGCTGTCACGTCTCATGGTTCAGGTTCATGGATTTTCTTTCTATCTCACAACATTGGAACTCCCAACTCAGCTATGGCCATGGGTAGTGAGCGTCACAACTCAAGGCCCAGGTAGCTCTTCCAGGTGGGAGTTCATGAGCCCTTCCTGCCTTTCATCTTTTGAGCTCCAGGTGAGCAGCCTCTGGAAGAGAAGCTGGCATTGGTTACAGAGGCTTGACTCCAGCCACTACTGCCCATTGTTGTCAAGTTTCAACTTTGGGGACAAATCTGGCTGGCAGATGTCTAGAGCTCCATGCCGTGTGTAGCGTGGGCCTCCGCCAATCAGATTTTCGCACAAGTAACCCTAAGGATTTCAGGCTTTCTGATAAGCTCATGGGGATTGCAGAAAGGGCATGGAGGTCGGAGACCTGGCTTAGGTTCTGGCTCAGTACCTGACTCCTGAGGGAGTCACTTCTGCTCGCCGGGCTGCAGTCTCCTCCTCTGTATGGTGGGAGTACTGGCCTCAATTCTCTTTTTTCATGGAACTCCAGCCCTTCCTATACTCTGCGTCTTGTTCTGAGAAGCTGCTCTTCACTCAAGGCTGGCCTCTACGCCTGAGGGCCCCCTGGGTCCTCCTTCTGCGCGTCTTTTTCCACCGGTGCATTCAACTTGACCGTTATCCGCATCCCAGTTGTCTTTGTCCGTATTTAGTCAGCACGTTGTGAGCAGGTGGTGTCCCAAACCCAGCGGGGATGAAGGGGTGTAAGACGGGGCATCTCTTGATTCATCTCAGCAGGTGGCAGAGCAGAGTCAGGCCTGGACTGGAATCCCAGCTCCACCATGACTGGCTCAGGGGACATGCGCAAACCAGTTTTCTCATCTGTAAAATGGGGATAATAATGCCATCTCATTTCTTTTTTCTTTTTTTAAGAAAGGATGATTTAATAATAGGTACCTGATGAGCATGATTAACTACTCTGTACCTGAGGTCTAAAACAATAAAATACAATAAATAAAATGGAAAGTGATTGGCATGGAGTGGGATACAAGGTAGGCACCAAGCAAATGTTCACGGCTCTTTCAGAGGCTACTCTGTGATTCGTGTTTCCTTCTCCCTAACATCTGTCCACAGAGTCTCTGTTTCTAAACCTCAGAGCCTTCACTTTGTTGGAAGTACCTGGGAGCTGGAAAAGCCAGGGTGGGGAAGAGGAGAAGCCTTACTGGGTGTATGGAGCAAAACAAATGCTCCTACAACTAATTGTGCCCTATTACAATTGCGAAAAACACTTATTACCCCTTGTGTCATTACTGATACCTGCCTAATAATAGTTATTACCAGTTTATTACCACTGAGAGTTTGTTTTAGTTTGCGATTTGATTGTGTTTAGTTTCATTTACAGAAAATGAAGGGTCATTTCATTCATGCAAATTGTTACTTAGTTTAGCAAATTGTTACTTCCCGTAAAGCAAGAAGCTAAGGAATTCTTCTGAAGGAAAAGTATATGTTTTTAAGCAGGAGTATTTTAGGCGAAAGGAAACCCAAAGAAAAATATCATAGACAATAAGAAATCGTAGTGTCTGAGCTACAGAGAGCTTGTGTTTCACTCCTGTCCTTTGCAAAAGGGGAGACTGAGGCCAGGAGCTGGAAGTGACTGGCTTAAGGCCTCCTGTTGACAGCTGGGTTTGGCCTTTTGGGTCCTAACGCTTTCCACTGTCCTCCCCTGCACCTAGGAATGCTAGCTCGAATGCAGCTTGTTCGGACATGAGTTTCCGTGTCTGGGCCTTTGCACTCACACTTGGCTCTGACTAGGCTTGCCAAATTTAGCAAATAAAATGCAGGATGCCCAGTTAAATGCGAGCGTCCGATAAACAACACACCGTATTTTAGTATACGTACGCCCCCAGTATTGAAGGGAACACAGCCATACTGCAAAATGATGCCGTGTTGATCCAAAATTCAAATGTAACTGAGCATTTGGTATTTTTATCTGGCAGTCCTGGCTCTGACTTCTGCTGCACTCACGTTTCTGTTGTTCAAGTAATAACAGTTACTGTTTATGGAGGTGTTTTTTAACAGTGCCAAGAGCTGCACTAAGCATTTTACGTACATTAACCCAGCAAACCTGGGAGGTCTAGAGGATGATTATCCTCATTTTAGAGCTGAGGAAACAGGCTCAGAGAGGCAAAGTAACTTGCTTGAGGTCACACAGCCAAAGCTGGCAGAGCTGGGATTGAGCCCACATCTGTCTGCGCCCCAAGCCTGTGGCTTTAACTGTTGAGGGGATTTGGGCAGCAGAGGAGGTGGGACAAAGCGGGGAGGGAGGGCTTCGTGGAGGCTGAGTTTATTTTTGGAGGAAACCAATAATTGAAAGCTTGTAGCACCTGAGGTGTGAGTTCCCCCCACCCTGGCAGTGACATGCTGTCTTCTGTCTTCCAGAATCTCCACCACCTCCCTATTCTCGGCTGTCTCCTCGCGACGAGTACAAGCCACTGGGTAAGTGTGCCCTCCTTCCCCCCCCCCCCCCCCCCCCCCCGTGCAGAGGTGTGTCCCTCACCGGCTCCCCTTCAGCCCAGGGTCTGCCCAGCTTCCGGGCTGGAGGGGAGGGGTGGAAGCCGGGCTGGTTGCTGTGAAGTGGGGTGAAGTTATACAGACACTCCCACAGTTGGGCCAAAGCAGACCCAGCTTCTGCAGCAGGCTATTTACATCTCAGAATTCCACGGCTCATCATTAACCTCTCTGTGACCTTTAAACATGGGCCTGTCGGAGATGAATGGGTTTTGACTTAAGCATCTCACTGGAGGTGGGTTGGTATTTCTGTGCCTCTTCTGTCTCTCTCGGGCCACCCCCAGCCTTGGGTTATTCTTCTTTCGAGTGTATTAATTAGTAGTATGACAAATAGGTCGGGCATGAAGTCTTTGTTGAGAGGAGCTGTGTGTTTTCCCCCTTTTTAAGCCAAGATGTTCACTTGAGCAGAAACAACAATTAAAGGAATGTATATTGGTACCCAAAGCCCCTGGCGTGCACTGTCCCCTAGGTGACTTTAGTGGAGTTGGTAATGTAATTTTAGACAACTCCCATTAAGAGGCAGAACGTGTTTTCTGTAAAACCTTGAGCCTAGATGATCAGCCCATACGCTGGGGTAGATGCAAGTGGTTTCGAAAGTAGAGATTGTTGGCTCACACGTGTAATCCCAGCACTCTGAGAGACTGAGGCGGGCAAATCACTTGAGGTTAGGAGTTTGAGACCAGGCTGGCCAAATGGGAAAACCCTGTCTCTACTAAAAATACAAAAATTAGCCAGGCATGATGGTGCACATGGTCCCAAGTAGCTGTAATCCCAGCTACTTGGGAGGCTGAGGCAGGAGAATTGCTTGAACCTGGGAGGCAGGTTGCAGTGAGCTGAGGCCACACCACTGCACTGCAGTCTGGGCTACAGAGTGAGTGAAACTCTTGTCTCAAAAAAAAAAAAAGTAGAGATTGTGGCTGGGAAGATGGCTCGTACCTATAATGCCAGCATTTTAGGAGGCTAAGATGGGAGAATTGCTTGAAGCCAGGAGTTTCAGAGCAGCCTGGGCAACATAGCAAGACCCATCTCTATAAAACATACAAAAATTAGCTGGATGCGGTGGCTCAGGCCTGTAATCCTAGCTGTTTAGGAGGCTGAGGTGGGAGGATCACTTAAGCCCAGGAGTTCGAGGCTGCAGTGAGGTATGATTGTGGCACTGTCCTCCAGTCTGGGTGACAGAGCAAGACCCCATCTCTAAAAGAAAGAAAATAAAAGTGGAGATTACTTGGCTCTCTGCTTCCTCTAGTGGGAGTTCAGAGCATGAGCTCTGAGGCAGAGAAGCGATGGAATCTGTGGGATCTTGATCATGGGGCAAGTTAGTTTGGCCCTGACAGTACCAGGAGAGCAACTGCGTGGCCCGAGCAGTGCCCATGGGACTCAGCTTTAAAAGTCAGATGGCGTGGCAGCGATGCTGAAACTTTCCACCAAGTGACTGCTTTTACTGGGTTGTGTTTAGTTTTTGGTAAGGGCCTCCTCCCAGTAGCGTGTCAGCGTCATCTGGGAGGTGACTTCTTAGGGTCGTAGATGCTCAGGCATCTGCCCCAGTCTTCCTTCCAGACCCCTCACCTGCTGTGAAGTCAGGCATGCCCACCAGCCCCTTCAGGAGTGTGACCCTCTCAGGCTAGGTGGGCAGAGGCTGTCCCACGAGGGTGTGGGAGTTGGCAGCCAAACCATGGTGGCCACCCTATTGTTTGTTCCAGAAGTAGGATTGTCACAGGTGTGGGGGAGCCTTAGTTCTCTGGGGAACTGGAGAGATGCTCTGGTGGGACCTTTTCATGTAAGACATGAAGCATCAGGCTGACTGAGGGCGAGGAGCTGCCCAGCTAATGAACAGCAGGGTTGAGGCACAAACTCAGAGCAGCCCCCACTCAGGTCCGTGGCTCGCTGTCCTTCCCTCTTAGGCCCGTCTCAGCATTTTCTGAGTCAGCATAATTGCACTAGTTGCTTGCAGGATCCCTGGTTCCATTAGAGAAGAAAACCCTCAAAAGTTCTTAGTGAAAGTTCTTAGCACCTCAGTTTGAATGTCAAGGATCATCGCCCTGAAGGTTTGTCAGTCAGCCTATGATAAAGCAGCAAAAATCAAGACACTGTCCAGCCCTGCAGAGTGACCGTGTGGAAACCAAGAGTTATTCCCATGATTTTACAAATGAACCAACTGAGGCCCAGAAAGAGGAAGTGACACTTACCGGTGGTCAAATGGCTCAGTCCACCACCTGTTTTTATATGCCGTGCAAGCTAAGAATGGCTCTTATTTTTGAAGTCGTTAAACAAAAAATCAAAAGAAGCATACTATTTCGTGACACCTGAAAATGACATGAAATTCCAATTTTGGTGTCCGGAAGTGGAGTTTGACTGGAATGCAGCCAGGCTTGTCCATTTCCATTTTGTCCGTGGCTGCGGCAGAGTTGTGTGGTTGCAGAAGAGAGTGTATAGTTCACGCAGCTGAAAATATTAACCTCTAGCCCTTTATAGCGAAAGCTGGTGAGCCCTGATGTTGCTTGACTAATAGTGGAGGTGGGGACCGGAACCCGGGGCTCCAGCTGGCAGAGGGAGCTCTTCGTCCTCAAGGCTTGAGCAGTGATGGAGGCTGGGAACGTTCTTTTGCATAGCAGCCATTGAGACACTGCCCAGGGCCTCACTAGAAACACTAGATTTGAGGGTTTGGCAAGGGCGTGATAGGGACTTACTAGCTGTGAAAGGTGGAAACCGCCGGCCGTTCCCACTCTTCTGGAAACCTCACAATGCTGTCTGTGTTGGCTGTAAGGCAGTTCACTGAGAAATAGGACTCGGCTTGTGATGCTGCTGCTTCAAAATGAGAAGTGGCAGCGGGGCTCTGGGCACAGAGCACTTTGGGAACATTAGGTATTAAAAGCAAAACTCTTTTAAGAAGTTCCCACTTGAGCATTGAGGTTTTTTTGTTTGTTGTTTGTTTGTTTGAAAGCTTTTTCTGTGTGTCCTTATTTTTCTCGTAACATGTTTTACCAGCAGATAACTTTTTCATTCCGTGATAAATAGTCCCAGGTTATTTTTGGGGAAATCATTTCTCTTCCTTACATTGTTGCTTTTTCGTAAACAAAAAGCCAGTTCACTTCTAAGCCTCTGTGATCACATGAGAGCATAAAAAACAAAATAAAACCCAGAACACCCAGTCAGCATCTGGCAAGTGGGAAAGGAGAGAGGGAAAAAATAAAGGCCAAATTGGTTAATGTTTTATCTTCCGGCTCCCCAAGCCATGTGGTAAAAGGAAAAAAATTCCTGCAGGATCAAATGGAATTCTAGCTAGTGAGGGCCTAGGCAAACAGTTTCAACCCAGGAATCCCTCGTCTGGAGTAGCTCTGCCAGGCCAGGTGGGGGTCCTCCGAGCCAGTCCTGGGTTGTGCTAGGTGAGAAGACGAGTGTGCTGTAGGCCACCTAAGGCCTGGACAGGCCTGTCCCTTAACGGGGACAACACCCATTGCTGGTAGCAGAGGCACAGGCCCAGGAAAAATTTTCCAAGTCTACCTGTCCCAAAGGCCATTGGCTTGCCAAGCTAGCAGCTCAGTGTTCTAGAGAAAATGTGCAAAAGGATTTCTCTTTCTTATCTAACTGTACTGCAGACAGAGGAAAACCAACAATGTACAACTTAAAAAAGAAGAACGCCTTAAGAAAAACGGTCCAGGCTTTGAAAGTTGCTCTGTGAGCAGGTTTGGATGTCAGGGAGTGGGGGAGGGGAGAGAAAAAACAAAGTTAATCTGGGGAGCAAACGCTTGAGTCCTTAATTAGAGGGGTGTAAGCAGGACAGAGTGAGGACGGCTGGTGACTTGTTAAAACGGTTTCCCCAGCTCCAGCGGGAGGGAGGGAGGAAGGAAGGAAGGAAGAAAGGAAGGAAGGAAGCAAGAAGGAACAGCTTCAAGAATTTTAATAGTTGTAATTAAGAATAGCAACTATGAATTGTTTAGGGACTTAATTTAACCTTACCCATGGAGGCTCCAAGTTGCTACTTGCTCTGTCCCCTGAACTTGGGCTATTTCTGTGGTCAGGGCAATTGCAGCGTTTTCAGGTACCAGCTTCACTAGTCAGCATTTTCCAGAAGAGCTCCTGGGCTGGCTGGTGTGGTCTGGGGGGATCCTGAGATGGGGTTACAGGGTGACATCGGAAAGTCGGGAGGGCCATGCCGCCCTTTGCAAGCACACGCATCCACACACGTGCACACACACACAGGTGCACGAGAAAGAAGCAGAAAGAGCGCGCTGCCCCACGGCCAACTAAGTTCTCTTTCTCTTTCCTCCCACAGATCTGTCTGATTCCACACTGTCTTACACTGAAACAGAGGCCACCAACTCCCTCATCACTGCTCCGGGTGAATTCTCAGGTCGGCAGTTTTTCTTCTTGTACGTTGCTGTGGTGTTGAAATTTATCAAAGGGGACAGCTGCAGAGGGGGCTTGGTGGGAGACTTGTTGACTTCCGCTCTTCTTTTTCTTCCCCTTCTCCTCCAGTCTTTGGATGGGAAGATTGCCAATGTTCACTCGCTGGTGTTCTTGGGGTTAAGAACAGTTCGTGTGAATGAAACCTGAAGATAACTTTTAAAGCACCTGTCTACCACGTTTTAACCAGTTGTCGCTATCTTGTCTCTCTTGGAAAGATAAAAGCCCAGCACAGCTCTCCGTCTCTCGTTTTAGCAAGGGATCCTCTTCCCCCAGCTGCGAGAGGCAGCAAAGTGGTTGTGTTACACATTTATCTTCCTCCTGTCCCCACTCTGGGGGAGGGACTGATGTGAAGGGTTAGAAGATTGGGGGAAAGGAAGCCGGCTGAATGAACTTGCAGGGAGAATCTGGCAAGTGAGGAGTTTGGCAAAGGCCAGTGGTTTCTGTGTCTCTCCCTGAACAGCAGAGGCTGGGATAGAAGCCGAGGGAACCCTGGTTTGGAGTCCTCTAGCCCCTGCAGTTAGAAGCTGGTTGTGGGGACGCCCGTATCTGGAGGAATACCTGAATCAAACTTTCCTTGAGAAAGGAGAGACTGGTGTTAGACTGGGGACATCGAGGGCCAGGGACAACGTCTGTGGGGCCCTTTAGGAGCATGGCTGGTGGGCTTGTGGCCTGGGGGTGTGCTGGCCGGGGCTGCATCCCTAGTGGGTATGGCTGGATGGCTGCGTGTCTCCATCTGAGCCATTCTTCCCTTGCCCACATCCATGCATGGTAACAGTTGCAGTCATCATAGCTGTTTATTGGTATGCTATGGCCCGACACTCCACTGAGCCTCCTTTATGTGCATTCTCCAGGAACAGCCACAGGCTATTTGCCTCCAGGATCTTTGCTCCTCATCACTGTTTGTCTCCCACTTTTCTGCAAGGGCCAAATGCACCTTCGATAAACGTATTTCCTGTAAAGTTCCGTCATTCTTGACGTAGATGCTCTGCAACTCTAAGGATAATGCAGCTCTGGCTGCTCACGGCTACCTGGGCATTTCCCCAGCCCAGAGCCTTCACCCATCCATTCCCTTCTCACCGAGGCATGGGAGCTCACAAGAGTAGGTCGTTGCAGAGATGGAGAGGCTGGAAGCAGAAGCAGGAATGTGACTTGCCACACAGGGTTCCACAGTGGGCAACCTGGTACTGGGGTCCAGGTGATGCTGGAGTCCAGGTGGTACTGGGGTTCAGGTCTTCTGGGTCTTACTCCTGAATGCCTTCCGGTCTCTAGTGGCCCACCCAATTAGGGTACTTCCTTCTCTAATTTCTTTCCCTCAAAGACCAACCAGATGAACACAAGTTAGAATTTCAGTCCTTTCGTTTTCCTCTGCACCTACATGAATGAAAGACACATATAATTTTGAAGCAAGGAGCTTAAAAGTATTTCTGAATTTATGATTTTATGTCACTGCCAGCCCTGAGAGTATATTTGACTCAGATGGATTGCATTGGCATTGGTTGTCTGGACAGATGGGTAATTTTTTGACATCCTCTTTCTCCCAATTGTTAATGTCAGAAAGTCTGTGATGTGTGTGTGTGTGTGTGTGTGTGTGTGTGTGTGTGCGCGCGCGCGCGCGCACACACACCTTGCAGTTTTAAGGTGTTTGCAAATGTAGTCTTATTTGATCCCAGCCATTCCAGAGGGGGCCTGGTGTGGTTCAGGCTAGAAGGACCAGAGCCCCGAGCACTGGCAGAAGGCCCCTCCCTCTATCTGGAGGCTGGGAGGTCTCTAGAGACCCCTAGGCCATTCGTTTTGTTGCCTTTGGGCCTCACTGGGCCTGTTTCTGAGATTTCTGCCCGGATATCCCAGAGCAGTCTCTGGTACTGGTTAGTGAGAAGGTCCCAGCTACTCTTGACGGTGCAAAAGGACTGTGTTGGAAATGCATCCAATGCCTTAGAATTCTAAGGGGTGGAAGGATTTGGGGAAGGATTTGGGGATTCCCGATGCCCGGGACACTGAGTGAGGTCTTGAAGGACTTTGGTCTGAGCTCTGGGTGGCCTCAGTATTTGAGTGGGGCGTTTCCCTTTGTGTCCTCCCAGTCCCTTCCAGAGATGCCATGCATGGAATGACCCCCTTCTCCTGAGGGCCCACTGTTAGCTTTCCCAGCTTGCCCTGTGCTATGGGGATCTGAGGTCCTGTGGGTTAAGCTGCCTGCCTGCCTACTGCGAGCCCACAGACATGGGGGTGTGCTGGCTGTCACATTGGAGGACATATTCAGGGAGGGAAATGGCCTGGGGGTGACAGGTCTTGGTGGGTGGTGAAGGCATGAATCATCCTGCAAGATGGAATGCAAGGTTGCGTGGGAGGGCAGGGCCGGAGGTGAAGTCAGAAAGGTAAGGGGCAGAGGTAGGCACAATATGTTGTACCAGGCCAGGGTATTTGATGTCTAAGGACAAATGATGATGGTGCTGGTGATGACAGCAGTTGACATTTATCGACACTCACTATGTGTCAGCCACTTTGCTAAGCTCCAACATTCTCCATTTTAGTGATTCCTTTCCATGACCCAGTGAGACAGGTATGATTCTCCCCCATTTCATAGAGGAGGAAACTGAGGTTCATTGCTGGACCAACTGCCCATAATGTAAGTGGCAGGCTTGGAATGTGAGCCTCGACAGTGTGACTGCCCAGCTCCCATCCTGAGGGCCCTGCCCAGCGTTCCACAACAAGTGTCCTGTCCCCTTCCCCAAGCTAGACCCAGCAGGAGCAAAGTAAAATGATCACAAGGAGCCTGGGGCACCTGTCCTGATTTAAGTACCAGCGAAAGGGATGAGGACCTTAGCAAGGGTGCAGGGCGGCTCCATGCCCCTCCGGGCCACCACTGGACAAATCTGCGGACCACCCGGAGATCACACCACTTGGCTGCCTGGCCCTCCATCTCCCTGTGTTCTGGGGGTCTGCCGATCCCGAGAGCCTTGTCACCCTCAGTGTCCTGGGATGGACGTCATCCCCAAACAGGGTGTCTGCAGCCCCGGGATGGAGACTGCCCTTGTTTGTCTCCGAGGATGACAATCCCAGTGCTGGGCCTGGACTCTGTGTGTTTTATCCAGCTGCATGGTCTCTGCTTTACTTCCCTGTCCTGTTGTTGAGGCCACTTAGGGGAATGGGGGGGCTCCTGAGGCTTAGTCCCAGGTCTGGGCAGGCAAGGATGCTTGAGTGGGCAGGGCGAGAGGCTGCAGGAAAGGAGACACACTGGCTTCAGCTCTCTGCTGAGTAGTTGATGGAAAACCTTCATTTGATCTCTATGTCAGCTCCCAATTTGGATACGTGATCTCCACTAAACAGTGTAGAGGGGGCAAGTGGCTTCACCAAGGTCACTGGGGAGGGGGGTGGTGGAGGAAGGCTAGAATGCAGAGCTTTTACCAAATCCGAAGACCTTACACCTGGAGTCTTCAATGGGATTTGGGAAAAATTAAAAGCCTAGAACTTTTGGAGTCCCTTCAGAACTCTGGCACTCTAGTTGCCTCGCCTAATTCAGGGCCTGGGGTGCTGTCCCCTGCCTGTCCAAGGCCTCTGTCAGGCTGTCCTCTTCTCGGCAGTATTTCTATTCCTCTTCCATTTGCTTGATTTCAGTTTAGTTTGGGGAGGAACAGAAGAGAAGCTAGTTAAATAAATTCATACTAAGGTGTGAGTGGCTGGTAGGCAAACTTTTTTTTTTCCCCCCAACTTCAAAGTAGAACATGCCATAAATCTCAGGATTGCAGGACGAAGGAATGGCAGTTCCGAGAAAGGCTGGTGGCAGAGGGCAGGCTTCTCTCAGCATCTCTGACTCCAGCCTAGAAAAACAATGAACATGTCATAAAGAGCTTTAAGCCTCGGATGAGGGAAGGAGCCCTGGCCAGGCCGGGCTGGGTGAGCTCTGAGTCACTTAGCAGGAGCCTGACGTGGTGGAGCTGCTGAAGCACCCAGGCCTGCCTGACTCCATGCTGCGGGGCTGGGGACAGGGCACTGGGCAAGCTTCTTTAGGACAGTGGCTCCCCTGTACTGTCTTATTCTAGAACCTGTAAGGTGTCCGTTCAAGTGCTTTATTAAGCACCCTGCCCCTCAGTTTTCTCACCTGTAAAATGAGGATGATAAGAACAACGTGTCCCTAATGGTGAGGGTTAAATGAGATACTTGCCCCTGGCAGGGCGGGGAAGGGGGTGGGGATGCCCGTTGTAGAACACGGGGCAGAGCCCTCAGGGTGGGAGCTGGGTGGTCACACTGTCCAGCTGTATGCAGGGCACGTATACGCTGCCCATCAGAGATTGGGCAGTCCTTTCTGGGACCTTGGCCATGTGTGCCTGGGATCTCAGTACTCACAGCGTGTGGGTTTCTTTAGAGCCGTGTTATTGAGAGCCGGCCCCTCCGTTTAGAAAGGAGAATTCCCAGGGAAGGAAGGGAGCCACGTTAGACTACGTGGAGAGTTGGGGGCTGAGCTGGATGGGGAGGTATCGTTCCTTCACCAGCCAGACCGTAAGCTCCTTGAGGGCACAGGTCATGCTGTAGATTGTTGCATTGTGTAAGGTGGCAGAGTTTGGGAACAGAGGCTCAGGGAGGTTGGGAGACTGGCTCAGAGCCACACAGCAAGCATAGCAGTGTGGACCCACCTAGGGTTGCAACCTAGGTGGGTCCATACTGCTTACCCACCCACCACTTGATAGGAACTGTGCCTGCCATTTGGCCATTTCAGGGGTCACTTGGGGTCGGTCCTGTCTGGTGTCACCGTCGGTGCCTGCTGAAACTGGGAGAGGAGTGTGTGTGTGCAGTGTCATTTCCTGCTGCTTTCTTGATTACAGGGACCAAGTGTGTTCTCGTTTGACACCCTCATGTAACAGACTCTAGAGTTCTGTGTTCCGAGGTGTACGATTCAGCCCATTCAGTGTGTTCTGAATCCTGACAGCTGTGTGGGCCCAAGGGCATGGG